GGGCTGGGCCCAGTGTCACATGCAACACAGAGGGTTCAGGGTGTGGGTTGCATGTGGCACTCTGCCAGACCAGCCCTGCGCGCTAGCTCTGGTGTGGCCTAGTCCAGACTGGCCCCAGAGCCAGAGCTCAGGGCCTGTCTGGCACAGGCAGCACAAGCAGTACCCGCCCTTGACTGAGTCCCTGTGCTGCATGCAGTGCCTGTGGCAACAGGTCCAACCTGCATGCCAGACTGGTTCTGCACACCTCATGTGGTACATGGCGCTGGTCTGAGACTCATGACCCAGATCTTACGGCTCCATAGACTAAATCTAGCTTGCAGGCTGTATGTTTAACACCCCTGAATTAAACCATACAAACTGGATACAAACATGAGTTTAGACTGCCACCCTTACTTGTGAGAGGTGAGGTGAGTGAAGATGGCAGAACATAGTCCTAAAGAAATGTTTATGTCTAGATTAGTTGTTTTTTTCTAGTATTCCATTTTTTTGTAATACAGCAGTATGATGAATATTGAGAGTAACTGGGGCAATAAATTATCCCATGTCAATATAAATCATTAGGACTACTGAGAGTGCTTCAATCCAAAGATGTACACACATCTTATTTCAAAGATATTCATATTGACTTTTAACAAGATGACTCCTACTGCCCCAGTGAGAATAAGTGTGGAAGAATACAGCACATCAGAATTTACAAAAACCAGAAATTTATTTTCATAAATGTCATACACGTTTTGCAGCCTGATTTTGAGCTGCTACGTCACAAAACTGACACATTGATGATAATGGACTGCTCTTTTTGAAAAAAAGATGTATTTCTTAAGTATGAAGAACTAAAACAACAAATTTTGTTCGTTTTTCTTTTAATAGCAATTTATTTAACACTATATTTCTTACTAGAGTACTCTTTAAAAACTTTTTAAAAATTTAAATAACGGGAAGATCCACAGTTATTTTGTTAAATGGTCTTAGAATTTAGTGGTGAACTTATTTTATTTAAGTACATTTTGTACCATTCTCATCATTTTCAGTACTTAGCATGATCTAACTCTACCAGCATCCCCTAAATTCCTTTAGAAAGAAAAAAATAACAACTGTCACCTGATATTACATAATATTATCATTTATTTTAGTTTGGCAGATACTGAAAGAAATAGTTTTAAAAGATACATATATATATATTTAAAGTGTGTAAGCTCATTTTCAGTGACGCAGCCTCCTTAATTAATTAGGCATTTCTGAACATTTTATACAAAATCTTTGTTTTTACATATTCAAAGTTTGTAAATGCATATGAGATATACTTGTGTATATATATTTAAAATCTTTAGAAAAACCACAAAATACAAATACAATTTTTATATACACTTTTAAAATATGCAGACTAATTTGTTATGAAATTAAGCTACTGATATCAAAACATTTGCATCTAGAAATGGTCTATAATTGAGAGAAATAAAAATGTTATAGTTTATTTAACTACTTTGCACCATAATAGCATTAGGCATACAGACAGTCCTGTTGACTTCAGAAAGACCACTTCGTTGTTTAACATTCTTGTGTTTATACTTTTTTCATTTGAAGTCCGCTTGTTTTCTGAAATAAGAAATATAATCAGTCCTTGGTCCTGGATGCTGTAGTTTTATCCATCAGGATGGAGGTCTGCTGAAGTTCTGCAGATATCCAGCAACACACACATTTGTATTATTGTCGCTTTTGTCTTAATTTAAAATTTGAACAATCATTCTTATATAATAAAGGGCTTAGGCCGTCTGTCTGTCCATAATGTTCTTGGAACACTCTGATTTGGTTAGTGAAACAACCAGTCAGAATGTGGAGCACTGCCATGACGGAGGGGTGAGGCCAGCTGGCCTTGCTTCCCTGCTCCGGCCATGTCATTGTGGCAGCTTTCCACTGCCTCCAAGGAGCAGAGCCGCAGGGAGAGCAAGGCCAGCAGCACTGGAGGCGGCGGCAGCGTGGGGTGCTGGCGGAGGGGGCGGTGGGGCAAGCTTCCCCACCTGCTCCTTCCCACTTCTGGGAAGCAACAGCGGTATGTGGTGGTGGGTGGCAGCGCTTTGTCCCTGCCTGCCCCCCATCCCCTGTCATTCTTGATGGGCAATTTGCTAGTTAAAGTATAAATGTCAATTTAATTCTATTATGTGGCTTTACTTTAAAGCGACACCATCAATTTAAAAATCATGCTTTTGTCTAAGGCCATTATTTAAAATAACATCTAAACTTATTAATAGTTTGTTGTATTTTTTCTCGTTTAAAAGTGTTTGTGTGTACACTTGACCATACATCACGCATAGTTTACCTCTGTATAGTCTATTATGCATTTGCTATAGTTTTTCTATTTTTTTAACATGAATGGAAAAGTTGAAATAGAATTTAAACTAGGGTTTAAAATAGGCAAATGTCATTATAAATTGAACTTAAATGTCACAGGAAATAAGTGTTTAATGTAATCAGTTAAAACTTTTGACTTGAGTTTTTAAATTTATTATATTTCAAGTTGATGGTGGCTCTTTAAGCAGCATCAGACTGTCTTTGACAGTGTTGTTTAATGGGAGAAGATTATTTGCTTGAAAAATATAATTTTAAATATGGTAAAATGTGTTATTTCAAGCTTATGTACTCTAATTTTTCCAGAGAACATAGATGTAGAAGCTCGCCTAACAGAACTATGTGAAGAAGTAAAGGTATTTACTGTCCTTCATTTAAAATAAATGTAAAATAATTGTAAGAAACAGGAGTCTGTTGCCAATATTTTAGATACTGTATTAGAGAGAAAAGACTGGTAGGGGCCATTCCCAGTATTTGATGTTGCTACAATTTCTCTCAGATATTCCTTATTCCAAGACATGACACTCATTGTACTCTCCACACAAATTTGGTGGTCCGTTTATTGTTGAAACGTCTTTGTATTTGAAAAAGATGTGTACTCTATAAAACTGAAATTATAGGCAGGATCAATATTTACACTAAAGGGATGAATCCCATAATTAAGCTTTTCTCAAGTGCCTCTTGCTGTCACACATTGTACCCTACATGTGCCAGGGTAGGTTGAGATTGATGGTTCCCAGTGACGTTTGAAATGTGGAAGGTAGTTGAATCATTCTAATATTTCTTTTCTTCCAGTTAGACTGTTTAGTGCCAAACTGTCAAATCTTAGATCTCTCTTTTCTCCTAAACTATATTCCCCTCCTACAAATCCTTCTCTGTCCAGAATTCTAACTTCTTAAAAACAAAATAGACATTCAGTACGTTCTTTTCTGTTTTAATTTCCTCTTCATGTTTGATGATGATTTCCTTCTACTGCCACCGCTCCTATAATTTACTTAACTTTCCTTATTGTAACTAAATACTTGACAATGGTTTCAGGTGTTCCTGAAGAGGTGAACTAATTGTAAATTATTCATATATAAGGAACTAGTCTAGATCCCTGTTCCTGATCATGGTTTCCCTCCCATGTAGCCTGTTCCCTTCTTTCTCTGCTGGTCCTGCAGTTAAAAAGACTGTGTTGTGAAATAATGCTTCTCTGTTCCATGCAAATGTCATTTGTCTCTCTGACCATTTTGAATGTTCTCTCCCTCTTTTTTCCTCCCTACATCTCCCAGTCCCTCAGGCTCTGTGGTTTTTAAGACCCAGACTCCATTTTTTCTCCCTTTGTGATTAGAGATTTTCTATTTTTCTGACCTCAGGCCTTTGCAGAGAAGCTGCAGAAAACTGTTTTAACCTATGCAGATGTCCCAAGTTACTTCGATTTCAACAGGAGTGTTCAGATCAGCTCAGGCAGCATATGGCTTACCCCAGTATACACCAAGGCATTTCCTGATGCAGCGCTTCCAGCTAAAACGTATAAGCTGTAAACAGACAGATTTCCCAAGTTACCATATATTCCATTTTTCTTCCTGAGAAAGACCCAGTTCTATCCTGTCTGCCTCTCTACTTGCTGTCCTGTCGCATCCTACTCTTTTGTCTTCAGCATTCTGTGACATAACTCTTTATTCAGTCTCCTTAGATTTATTTTGTAACTCTGTCTTTATGTCCTCTGGCTTGGTTTCTGCTTTCTTGATTCCATCAAAACTGGCTTAAACAAGTGAATAGTTCTCCGTTAACAAAGCTTAAAAGAGAAAGTTTCTGAATTATTTCAAAATGCAGACCAACTCCCTGTTATTCAAAAATATATACCTTATTTATTTGTATCTAAGATGACACCTTTATTTCTGCCAGTTAGCATGGGGAAAAAAGCCCTTTGTCTTACATTCACATATAAAGTGGCCTTTGGGGGTGGGGGGAAAGGCAGGCGGCTACTATAGCTTTGACTCTGGCCCTGAGCCTGGATCGGGGCCATACTCAGACCCTCCTCAGCTGCCCTCTACTTGCCCTCCTCAGCTTCTGCTCCCCCTTACTGTCAGGCACAGCTTGGTTCTGGCATGGGCTGGATTCTTTCCCAGACACAGAGTACCTGGAAACTGTACCATGCCCAGCTAGGCAGCAGTGCTGACATGGCTGCATGGCCTCTGCCTGCCCAGTCAGCAGTGCCAAGATGGTTCCATGGCTGGCAGGGGCTTCACTTCCACTTCATAGATTTCTTAGACATTTGGGCTGAAAGGGACCCCAGAGGATCATCGAGTCCAGCCCCTGCCCCAGAGGCAGGAAGTCAGCGGGGATCATAGGATCCCAGCAAGATAAGCATCCAAATGTGTCTTGAAGGCGTTCAAAGTGGGTGCTTGAACCACCTCCAGCAGCAGTCTATTCCAAACCTTGGGGGCTCGGACAGTAAAGAAGTTCTTGCTTATGTCCAGCCTGAATCGGTCGCGGCGGAGTTTGTGACCGTTCGATCGTGTCATGCCTTGGGGCGCTCTGGTGAACAGACGTTCCCCCAGATCCTGATGAGCACCCTTGATAAACTGTGCTCTGGGAGGGAACACAGCCCAAGCAGCATCTGACAGTAAGGATGTGGGAAGGGGCAGGGATTGGCGAGCAGGTGGGAAGGGGCAGGGATTGTGGGGAAGGGCAGGGGAGGGGCAGAGATTATGGGGAGCTGGGAGTGGGGGCGTGCCGGGGGGGGCGGCAGAAGACTGAAAGGAGAAGTGGGGTGGGGCCCAGAGGGCAAGGGGGTCATTTCACCCCCACTAGCCACTGCTTTTCCTTCTGTAGCAATGTGGGGAAGGTGACAACTCTCCAATAATTAGATTCTATACCTGGAAAATTATAACAAATTTATACATTTTCCACATATAGAACCTAATTAATGGGGGGTCTTCTTAAATTAAGGGTCAACTTGGATTTGAGTAAATATAGTAGATCACTGTCTTTTTCATTCTCAATAGTAAAATGTGGTGGCAATTACTGTATTTTCTGTACGCAGAAAATACAGTAATACAGCTGAAATACAGAAATTTTTCTGTATTTTCTGTAATACAGCTGACTCGTCCTCCCTTTCCTGCTTAACTAAAAGCTGGAGCTCCTTCTGAAGACTGGTCTCTACGGATGGATCTATGATTTGAAAAGGACTTAGAAGTCTCCATTGCTGTGAAATAAGGACACTTTTTAAATGAGTATGAAAGTGTATGGTGTAATTCAGTGGTATCCATCCTATGGACTGGATCTGACCTGCGACACTGTATCATCCTGGCTATAGGTTCCCTGCAGGTCTGAAAAATTGGTGGCAAGGAGCCGTAGCAGCATTAATTGCTCCTAGAGCTGTGGTAATTAATACTGTCACTGTGTCCCCAACACCAAATATTGAGACTTGTGGGGAGCTCTGTGGTCTAAAGGTCACACTATGGCCAGATTGTGCTTGTGGATTGATCTTTCACTGGATCTGGCACACGGACTGGCCCAATGCCACTTGTTCAGCCTACAGGGCTGGATTGGTTGAGCACCAGTGGTGTAATGGAATATGTAGATATTTATTTCAGGGAATGGAAACTAAAGAGACCATCCCTAAACGTTATTTACAAGCGACTTTAATGAAATGACGATATAAAAGAAAAACACCCCAAGATTGCAGTCATCTTTGAGGAAGAAAAGCCTAATTTCATAATGGCTGCTTCTTTTGTGGAGCCTCAGACCTTGAAAGTCCTAAGCATCTCATAATATTGGTCCTAGAGGAAACAAATTACCTTTTTAAAAATATAAATAATATGCATAATCATAGTCTCCTGAATCAACTTGGGAATGAAGAAGATTTGTTATTTAAACTAGTTATAAGATTACTTCAGTGTCTCATTTTTATCTCAAGTGTACCCATCACTGGGAATTATATTATTATTGTTTATTATCAGGGATAGATAATGTTTTTAATTACTGACTTTCAGTTTCTGTATAGTTACACTGTAGTTTTGAATTCTGCAAAATACAGGGCTCCCAACTTTGTTTCCATTTTTAAATTACTATCAACATGAGTTTGAGTTTCCATTGTAATCTAGGATCACACAACGTATTCTAAAACACTTACGGTAAGTACCATATTTACTTAAATACAAGACTGGGATTTTTCCCCCATTCAACATAGGGGAAAAAGCTCTTCATCTCACATTCACATACAAGGAAACTTCATTAAATACATTGATTATTTAGAAAAAAGTAGTATAGGCTAAATAATGGAAACTAACCATGAAGTTGATTAAATACAGACAATACTGGACATGACTATAGAACATATGGGCCATATTAACTAAACTTACTAATGGGAGCCTACCACAAGGATAAGTTAGTGCAGCCCATCTGAATAAAATATATGGTAGTGCCCATTATACTCAGTTCCCTCAGCCCTGACTCTTATTCAAGTCATGGTGAGCCACTACATTGAATACATTTCAAATTCCTCAGTACTCTCACAGCCGAGCTATGCTTTTCTTTCCCATTTCCAGTGTTTCCTGTTTCTTCACTGGCCTTAAATATATGGCAGACATCACCAGCAAACGGGGCCCCAAACAGTTCACCCAGAATCCTTTTGTTGTCCCCTGTCTCAGCCTGTTGCATATGATTAATGTGGCCCTGCCCTCCATGAGGTGGAGCTGGACCAGGTTGCCCTGTGCCTCACCTGCATATAATTTTTTTCAGAGGATTCCAGGACTTTTGACAAGAACATCTGGTTTTAGTCATGAATGGGGGCAGAGTAGGGGGTGGTTAATTAGCACATGGATCTTTTGTGGAGGTATCTAGAGTACACGCACGTACTGAACAGTGCTGGGTTGTGGGGTCACCATGGCTTGAAATGGTGTCGACTATGGTGGGGCCCAGCCCATTGAACTGTATTGTAAATCATGAGCCTTTTGGCTTTGGACTGATAGCATGCATAGTTTGTACTATATATAAGCAGGTGCCAAAGTGCTTTTTAAAATTGTTTGTAGAGTACTTGTGCTAAAACTTGCAGCAGTTTCAAAAAAGGTTCAATGCATCGGTTCTGGATTAGCTAAGTCTGTGGGTACCCATAGTAATTTGCCTGTATGCAGTTTGCCTATAGGCAAATTACTACTTTCTAAGTAATTTTTTCAAATTTGCTCCTCACTTCCATGTGCTCAGGGAGACCATGGTCTGACAGTAAGGTGGGGAGGAGCTGCAGGGGGAAGAAGTTGGGGAGCAGAGGGCAGGGGGAGTTCCTGATGTCCTGCCAGATTTACTTTCTCTGCTGTAGCAGTGGGAGGAGGACAAATTCAAGGCAAACCTCCAATAATTAATTTCTATAGTGGGAAAATGATAAGAAATGTATCATTTTTCCATATATAGAATCTGATTGGGGGAGGTGGGGGGTCATGTATCCGTGTAAATATGGTATCTGGAACCATGGAAGTTTTCTTTTAGTAATATAGCTTAGAACCTATAGTGTTTGATGTTTGGACACGCACAAATTTAAAAGTGCCTTTTTAAAATAAATTGTCATGAAGATAAAACAACTAAGATTCTTCCTCGGTTTCATGTAGATTTATGGCATCTATACATGACTGTGTGTTAAGTAAGAATATTTTTTCCTTACTTCAGAAAATGGAAAATCCTGATGAACTGGCAGAACTTATAAACATGAATCTTGCACAGCTTTGCTCTCTTCTCATGGCTCTGTGGGGGCAGTTTCTAGAGGTCATTACCTTAGAAGAGGAAGTCACAGCATTGCTAGCACAAGAACATCATACATTAAGGGTGAGCTTTGAATCTGTCATTATACAGAACAAATTCATATTCTTTATGACACTTTCTACTGAAAATTGTTAGGTCTTCATAAGATAAAACGTTCTAATTTTTCTGCTCTATTTGTGAAAATCAGAGAAGTGAAATGTTTAGAGTAACTCCTGTACTGTATTTATAATTGTATATTAGCTATATTATTGATTCTTCTTGGTGCTTATGTTCATTGCAGAGCTGGAATTCATTACATTTCTGAATAAGTAACACAGATGAGAAGACATTATATAGAGAGCTGTAGAGTGGAGAGTACTTATGCGGGATAAAACACTTTTTCTTCTGAAGGTCTACTTAGCACTCTTTACTTTCCTTGGTATATAAAAGCTGTTCTTGGTAGCCATGAATACAATGTGTATATTTCAAGTGTATATGTCTTATGGAATGACAGTATCCTTAACATCTTGAAAAGAAAGGTTGTTGTGGAGAGAATCTTGAAACAGGAAAAAAAAAAAAAATTAAAAAAAAAAAATATATATATATATAAAAGAAACAACCTTGGACCTGAATTAAAAAAAGCTGTCTTGAGCTTACTTCTGGGAAAACCAGTGAATGCTGTTTGGCAGGGTGAAGTATTTTCCAGACTTACTGAAAAGTCTGCACCATCAAATAAGTATTTTCATGCCTTTATCATGTCTGTGGCTACATGCTATACATGGAATAACCTGGAAGCTGCCACTTATACACACTTTGCACCTGGCCTATTCAATGGCTCTGGCTGGTGAGAACATATTATGCCAGTGCTTTGTACATTATATTAGCTACCTATCCAAACCAGGGTTACTTTTGAAATACTACTTGGTTGGTCTGGGATCCAGCTGTCTTAAGGACCTTTCTCTTCAGGCCCTGGATCAGACTGTTATAATCAGAGATCCGGGTTTTCCATTTCTCATGGAAAAACTGAGAAAAAACAGAGATTTTTCATTTTAATGGAGAAACACGTGTATGTTCCACTTTTGTAAAGAGCTCTCTGCAGGCTGGCAGAGTTCCAGCCTGCAAGGGGCTGGAGAGAGCAGGAGGAGGGTGGTCAGGCTGTGTGCATGTACGCACGCATGCACGCACGCACACACCCCCCCTCTCTCTGCCAGGCAGCCTAGAGAACAGCTCCTGCAGGTAAGTCTGGTGGGAGGGAGGAGGGATTGAGGCCCCCATAGGGAGGGAGTTGGGTGGGCTGGGGTATGCTGCCCAGCCTGGACAGTGCATGGAGCTTGGGCCCCTGGGCCAGAATGCTTAGCCACAGGAGCCTGGTGGGGAGCGGGACAGAGCCACGGGCAGTTGGTCCAGGGGATGGGGGAGTGGGGCTGGCTCCCAGGCTGCTGTGGCAAAGCAGAACACGGGGCAGTGCTCCCCCTCCCTGGCGGGTGATGTGGCTGGAGCAGAGCCTTGGGGACGGGGTGGGGGCAGGTGCAGGCTCACCACTGAGGGCTCAGGGCTCCCTGCCCTGCTGGTCTCCTCCTAGGACCTCTGCAGCCCAGCAGGTGGGATCCGGCATGGCAGAGTAGAGCAGGGCCAGGTGGGGGGAAGCTTGATGCCGCCACCACTGGGAGCCCCGTGCTGCCCTGGCAAGTCTTCACCTACCAACCCAGCAGGAGTGGCGGCAAGGAGTTGTGCCTGTCACTGCTGTTGGGCAGACAAGGAGCTCCTCACCATGGTAGCATGGAGCTCCCAGCAGCAGCAACTAGCTTCCCTTCCCAGTCTTGCTGTGTGCCCAAATCCTACATTGATATTTACGGAAGTGTGCACAGAATACAACTACAAAAACAGAAATTCTGTTCTCTTTCCAAGCTCCAATGTTAAAGACAAAATTGTTACCCAAGATAAAAACAGGCTATGCTATAGTGTAATAATTTAAATGAATATTAATGTAAACTTGATTTTCTCTCTAGGCCTGAGTTCTTTTAGTAAACTAAATATAGCTGAACTCATTAACCCTGTTATGCCCGTCAAAACTATCCCTTTCCCTTACAGCTTCCCACTCCACTGTGAAGCCCCACGAAGTTGGTGTAAAAGCTTTTTTGTTGATTATATCATAGAATTTTACAGCAGTTTTTATTTTTTCCACCACTATTCTGTCCATTTAGATGCATGCTTTCCTTTGTTTTAAGCAAGCTATGCAGTGTCCTAAAAAGTCACTTGATGCTACATAGACTTATCTCAGGCTCTAGCATAAATCCTCTGACTGCTGCGATGTGACAGCGGAATGGGAATTTCAGATTTTAGAAGCAGTAGGGTCTTGGTATTTGTTATGCCTGCACGGAAAGCAGAATTATATTTTGTTAAATGCAAGCTGCTATTTTATTGCAACTTAAGAGGCAGCACCAAGAACTGCTTTTAGGGATACCATTTTGTGGATTCTGTACAGCCCAGGTAAAGTTGCATTTCAATATTCTGACTTTTGTGGATTCTATTTAAGTGTAAAGTAGCATGTTCTTATTTTTAGTGTTGCTTTTACATTTCTCTCCTATTAAAAAAAATAAGAAAGTAAATATTCTTAATGTAAATGAGATTTTAGAAGGGGACTGGAAATGGGCAGTTCCTGTTTCTGTCATTGAGTCCAGTCCTGCAATTCTTACTGAGCAAAAATTTCTGCAGGCAGAATCTTACTTCACTTTTCATGTCCAAATATCAATTACCCAGGCACTGAAGTCCTATTTTTGCCACTCACACAGAGTTTGCCATCCTACTTCATTTACAGTATGGACACATGAATATTTATGTGGCTACCAGGCATGCAGAATAGGCTGAGCTCTGTCTGGGCAGGTACACAGCTGCATATATGTGTACTTAAGCACAAACCCTAAAACTGTGGCTTGGAGTGACAGGCTCGGGTATTTGCCCTCCCCAGATTCTGGGACTTTTAATGGTCAGACAAGCCTGTCTGTGTTCCCCAGTGTTCTCCACCTCCTATCTGTCCCCTGTCATGACTTGCTGTTAAATCTATAAAAGCGGAAGCTGCCTGCAAAAGCTGGAGTGGCCTACTCCTTGGTGCCTCTTACCTTTGTTTTTCACTCTGCTGGTGCACTCCCTATTTAAGAGGACCTTGGGGGCTAGACTTGTGACTTCCAGCTGCCCTCATAGTTATACCCATGCTTTGCCGATGTCAATCAGTATTTGGAGGCTGGGAGGGGAGCCCTGGCCCTGACTCTGCACTTGGCTCCTTAGGCCTTGAGCCTTTGTTGGGGCTTACACCTTCATGGCTTTAGTCCCTTTCCTGTAGCTCTGACCCCCAGCCCTGGTCTACTGTCTTGCCCTCTAGGGCTCCAGGCCTCTGGCCCTGGTCTCTTGTGGTAGTCCCTAGGGTACCCAACCCTGGCTAGGCAGCTTGCATGCTACTCTGTCCATGGGGTTCCCAACCCTGGCAAGGGAGCTCTATGCTGGGTAGCGATGTAAATACTGATTAAATAAAAGTCAGGCTCAAGGATGGAGACTGGCGCAGTGGTGCTGGGCTCCAGCCCATGGCTTTGCAAAGTTAAGGAAGCAGGGTGCTGAGCCCCAGGCCATGGAGAAAGGACTGCATCCACCCTGCTGGAGCAGCATGGCAAGCCAGGGACCCACCAGGCAGGCAGCACAGCCCAGGAAGCCCTAGGGGGCAGCAGCCAATGTGAGAGGCTGCAGCCACCAGTGTATGGCTTCCCGGGCCAGCTGTAGCAGCAAAGGGAGAGTGGAGAGGCAGGCAGCCTTGCCATGCCCCAGCAGGCAGGCAACAGCCAACAAGGGACTTTACCAGCTCACTGCAGGCTCTGGCACGCTGCAAGGGAGAGAGCAAGCAACTCCTCTCCTCCCTCCCTCCGGTAGCCTAGCTATTAGGTACTAATCACCCCTCCCCTCTTCCCTTCCCTTCCTCTTTACTCCTCACTTCCTCTCTCTTTGCCACCTTCCTGTTCCTGCTGGGGCACCTCAGGGCTTCCCTTCCCAAACTGAGCCTGGCCCTAGGCTAAATGATAACTGGTAAGCAAGGACCCATTATCACAGAGCTGATTGGTTAAACAATTAGTCATTTAGCTGTTCATATCCCTAATGCTGGGTGTCGTTCAGGTGACCCTGTGGCCTCCATACTAGCTTCGTAGCCACAGCCCAGTCATGCGATCTCAAACTTAAGTATAACAAAAACGTAGTCAAACGGCTTCCCACTAAAGTTCATTCCCACTGTGGGTCAGTACCCCACCATAGGCTATACTTTCCCCTTAGCTGTCACGGTCTCACTCTTGTGGGTAGCTTAGGTGTTCATGGGCCTGTTTTCTGCAGCCAGCTTCCTCAGGAGCTCCTCTCCCTGCTGCATGCAGAGCCAGACTGCCCATTCTGGCTCAGGCCTTGGGTTTATATGCCTTGAAACCCCACCCCCTTTCTGTCATGTGGCTCCCCAGCCAAACACCAGAGTTTCCCTTTGTTTAAGGGCTGGCCTGTTTTCCTCTACTGCAGCCCTACACAGCCAGCTTAGCCTGCTGTACACTCTTAAAGTAACAGAAGTCTCTGGCTCCCTATTACACTTAGCAAAAATGAGGAGGGCCCTTCTGTGCTTTCACCACATAATCTAGTAGGTAGGGTACT